GCCGCCGCTGCCGACGCGCAGGCCGAGGCCAAGGCCGAGCCGGGCAGCGCCGCCTGCCGGCCACGCTCCGCCTCGCCGCCACTGCCGCCGAGGCCCGGCCCCGTGGCGCAGCGCACCCTGCTGGCCGCCTAGGGCACCGGGAGGGAGGATGCGGGGGGACGGGGCCTCCCCGCCCCGCCCCGTGCGAACGGTCGCGGCTTTGTGAGGTGGCTCCGCGGCCCAGGAACGGCGGGGCCGGAGCGTGAGCCGGGGGGCGGTGCTCGGCCGTGCGGACACGCCCCTGGACCTGTGCCCCGCCCCCCAGCCCGGCGCTGCTCGAAAGGCCGCGCTTTGTACCCCGGTGCCAGAGCCGAGACGCGGGGAGGGCGGGGACAGGGGCGCGCCCCAGGGGGCGGCGCTCGGCCTCGTGGACACGCCCTGGGCCGCGCCCCGCACAAACCGTCGCGCTTTGTGAGGCGGCTCCCCTACCCGGAAAGGTGGAGGCGGGTCTGACGCCCGAAGGCTCCGACACTCCTCTGCGGCTGAGCTCCGCCCCTTGGCCCTGCCCGGCTTTGTGAGGAGGCGCACGGGGGGCGGGGTCCAGCTACGACGAGGCCCCGCCCCTGGACCGGTCCTGCTCCCTCCCACTGGATGTCGCTTTGTGAGGTGCCGGGCTCTCAGGGAGGGCCTGCGCGAGGGGCGGGGCCAGATCCCGGGACACGCCCCCAGCCTGTGGCCCCACCCCAGCCCCCAGAAAGGAAAATCAGTTTGAGGAGGGACTCAGCCTCTGCCCTCGACTTGAATCCGTGGGAAGGCCCCCTCTCCTAGCCCTCAGCCGCTCCTTATCTCTTCCGCATCGTCTCCGCCCCCTCCCCCCATGGCCCTCCTCCTCCATCCTTGGCCATCTGTCTATTCCCCGACAAAAAATTCTAGGATCCTTCTCTCTCGGCCCCTCCCTTAGCCCCTCCCTTCCCCCCCCCCGCGATGACTGGCCAATGAATCCTGCAAAGCAGGGTCAAGTGCCCCTTTCTACAGGGGGGCGCACGCACGCACACACACACACACACCCCTACACACCCCTATCTTCCAAGTCCCCCTGTCACTGCTTCAGGGCGTCATTCTCTTCTAGAGGGTCCAAAAAGGCTTGCGGCGGCTTCCCACCTTCTCTAGCTCCCACTCTTCTCTGGACCTCCTCACTGACGCCCCTATCAGTCCACTTACTATACTCACTAATGCAAGGACTTTAGCAAACACCACGTGACACTGTCCCCCCTCCTGTACCCCCACGGGCTTCCCCATATACTACCTTGACCGCATGCCCCTGAGGGGAACTGCTCCCCTCCCCCTAGGCTTCCAGTGATTAGACCCCAGAGATCCTGGGCTTGAAGGATTACACTCCATAGAGACCTTGGGAAGAGCTCAAAACGTGTTATAATTAATAACTTAGGCATGCCAGCAGGGCAGACTTAAGGAACATACCCCCAGGTACCCTATGCTCCAAAAACCTAGTTGGGTTGGTCAAGTCAGATGTGGCAAGGGGAGGACATCGGAGGGGTATGTGGAGGACTCAGGACTCTTATGGCCCAATTGGGGGCCACAGAGATCCTAACATCTCCTTCCCACGTGGTCTGAGAAGCTGAGAAGTCAAAGAGAGTCTTCCTGCTTACTGTCCAACCTCCAGGACAATGTCTGTGCCCCCTCTGCTTACTCCTGTCTTTCTGTGAGGAAGGTCCCAAGGCCAAGAGTTCCCTTTATCTCCTCTGTCAATTCCCTGAAAAAGCGGCAGCCAGAATCCCCAAAGTAGCGGGAGGGACTTCAGGCCCTCAAGAGGGGGCTGAATGGAGAGTGCACAGACATAGTGGGGCCCCCGATCCTCAGCCTCACTGGCAGGCCCGGAAAGTGCTGAATTCGGGGGGCTCAGGTGAGGATGATGTGGAAGTGGGCCTTTTCCGGGGCCCAGAGTTGCCAGGTGTCTCGGCGGTGCCTGAGCAAGCATCCAGAGTAGCTGCATCTTCTTCTGGGTTCATTTTCTTTGTCCATGGAGAAAAACAGAGAACAGGGTGATTTCAGGTTCAGAACAGGAGGTTTCAGGATCTAGGGTCTCCCTATTCTGAGTCTCAGACTCCCCCAGTCCATCAGGTCTCATTTCACCCCCACACACCACCCCACAGCTTCAGGGCCCAGATCCTGCCCTCTGTCCTCCTGCCTTTCTGTAGGCTGAGAAAGAAGGGAAGCAGACAGCGTGGGTTCGAATCTCAGCTCCACCTCGTCCAACTGAGTAACTTAACCCCTCTGAGCCTTATTTTTTCCTTTTGCGCAATGGAGAGAATGCTCATATACCCTTCCTAGAGTTGCCACAAAACCCAAAGGAATTTAATAGATAAAGTGTCTGGCATGTAGCAAGCATTAATAGTTAAGTGAACAAAGTTACCACCATTATCTCTTCCCCTCCCCCACCTTGTCGCCCTGTTCTAGGCTCCCAGAAAACCTGCCTCAAAAGTCTACCCTCGGGCGCCTGGGTGGCTCAGATGGTTAAGCGTCTGCCTTCGGCTCAGGTCATGATCCCAGGGTCCTGGGATCGAGTCCCACATCGGGCTCCCTGCTCCTTGGGAGCCTGCTTCTCCCTCTGCTTCTCTCTCTCTCTCTCTCCCTCTCTCTCTCTCCTCCTCTGTCTCTCATGAATAAATAAATAAAATCTTTAAAAAAAAAAAAAGTCTACCCTCTCCTCCACCATGGACGCTCCTGCCCCAAAGGTCAGTCAAGAAGAGATGAACTTGATAAAACTGAAGTTTGGTGGGTGAGAGCAGGCTGGGGTTCCCTGTCCTTCACCTCCCTAGCTGGACCATCCCAGTAAGGCCCATAATTAGCTTCAGTGTCCTTGTCTACTTAAAAAAAAACAAAAAATGTTGGGGCGCCTGAGTGGCTCCATCGGTTCTGTGCCTGACGTTTGGTTTTGGCTAAGATCACGATCTCAGGGACTAGAATCCAGCCCCACGTCCAGCTCCCCGCTCAGCAGGGAGTCAGCTTGAGATTTTCTCTCCCTCTCCCTCTGCCCCTCCCCCTGCTCACACATGGGCACTCTCTCAAATAAAATCTAAAAAATAAAAATTAAAAAAATGTCAACCCCACTTCATGAGGAATAGAAAGTGAATATCAGACCCTCAGTAGGGTAACACAATACAAGCCGGAGAACGATTAGCTGCTTCACTTTTATTTCAGCCAACAGCACAGCTTCTAATGCTTCAAAAAGAAACTAGAATTGAAAGCAGGGACTCAAAACAGATTTTTGCACACCCATGTTCATAGTAGCACTATTCATCGTATCCAAAAGGTGGAAACAACTGAGTGTCCATCAATGGACGGATGAACAGATAAAGTGTGCTATATAAATGCAATGCATACTATTCAGCCTTCAACAAGAATAAAATTCTGACACCTGCTACAACATGAACAAACCTTGAAGACATTATGCTAAATGAAATAAGCCAGGCACACGGGGCGCCTGGGTGGCTCAGTCGGTTAAGCATCTGCCTTCAGCTCAGGTCCTGATCCGGGACGGAGCTCTGCGTGGGACTTCCTGCTTAACGGGGAACCTGCTTCTCCCTCTCCCTCTGCCCCTCCCCCCTGTTTGTGCTCTCTCGCGCTCTTTCTCTCTCAAATAAAATACTTTTTTAAAAAGCCAGACACAAAAGGATGAACATTATATGGCATCATTTCTACATAAAATGTCCAGAATACACAAATCCGCAGAGACAGAAAGGCACATGGGTAGGTGCCAGGGGCTGCGGTTTGTTAAGAATGAGAAGTTAGTATACAGTGGGGACAGAGTTTCACTTTTGCAAGACGAAGTTCTGGAGACGGATGGTGGCGATGGTTGCACGAGGTGAATGTACTTAATGCCACTGAACTGGACACTTAAAAATGGTTAAAATGGTCAATTTTATGTTATGGATGTTTTACCATGATGGGGAAAAAAAAAACACCTAGAAAAGATCCCATTAGAATTTACTGTGAAGGAAAGGAAGCATGATAGTGTGCATAGCATACTATCATTTGTGTTAGAAAGGGTGAAGGTATACACCCCTTATTTTCACTTTTGCTTGCATTTCCAAGAAGCTCCTAATGCTGGTTGCTATCTGTGTGTGTGGAGGAGGAGACCAGTGAGTGAACAGGGGTTAGTGACAGAAGAATGCTTTCTTTACTGGATATATAATTTCGACATATGGATGTATTTCATATTTAAAAAAAACCTTTTTTTTTAAGTAGGCTCCATCACCAACATGGGGCTTGAACTCTCGACCCTGAGATTGAGTCACATGCTCTACCCACTGAGCCGGCCAGGTGCCCCCCCGCCAGGTTTTGTTTTTGTTTTTGTTTTTTAAAGATCTTATTTATTGACAGAGAGAGACACAGCGAGAGAGGGAACACAGCAGCGGGGAGTGGGAGAGGGAGAAGCAGGCTTCCCGCCGAGTGGGGAGCCCGATGTGGGGCTTGATCCCAGGACCCTGGGATCATGACCTGAGCTGAAGGCAGACGCTTAACGACTGAGCCACCCAGGTGCCCCAGGTTTTTTTAATTAAACACACACACACACACACACACACACACACACACACACACACACATATATAGTCACAAAGACTAAGATACTTTTAAAATTTTTCTCCTTGTCTTTGTTTCCACTTGTTTCATTTTAAATGCCTTTTTTTTTAAAAAGGGAAAAAGGAAAAATCCCCAGGGTAGTGCCTTGAGCAGCACGTCTTCTCACAGAAAGTTTTAGAATTTGCCCTGCTGGCCGGATTTGGGGTTTTTTTCTTAACACCACAGGATTTGTTCCCGGAACTGAGACAGCACAGGGCTGAACTGGCCGGCGGGGCCAAGCTCCTTCCTTCCCACATTCGTTTACAGTTTAAATTTCCTGCTCCTCTCTCCAGAACTCCAGATGCGCGTATGCACCTGCCCTTGGGCATCGCCCGGTAAGGTGGTCCCCCCACGCCTGCTGCTCCCCAGGACTCCCACGCGCCTCCCTCTGCCTCTCCTTCCGCTCATCATCCAACCCAAAATCAGTGTCGTGTTTCCTGTCCCCTGAATCGATCTGACCTGCATCTGTTCGCTTCTTCCACCTCCGCTGCCAACACGCTGGACCAAACCACTTACCGCCTACCGCTTAGCTTGCCTGGACCAGCGTAGTCGCCTCTGTCCTGGTAACTACTCCCCACTCCCGGAATACACCCTCACATTCCGGTCGGCCCACGCCCCTAAGTCTGTCCTCCCCGCAGCCGCCAGAGGGCGCAGGTGAGGACCTGAATCGGTCACCTCTCTCCCCTGCTTGGAACCCTGCATGGCTCCCATCACACTTGGGGCAACAATCAAAGGTCTCCGCGGGGCTCCCCTCGACACTTCACTTGGCTCCACTCCTGTTATACTGGACGGTGCCAAGAACGTGTCCCGAGCCTGGGGCAATCTTCCATAGCTATCCCCTGCTTGTTGGCCATCTCTGAGACTTCCTGGATCTCCCATCTAAGGGAGAAGTGAGCTTCCCTCTCACTCCTACCCCATGTGGCATCGTCTGTCTACCCCACCCCCCCGTAGAAATTAGAAATCTCTGAAGAATTAAAGGCCTTGTCCTGTTCTTGTCCCAATGCCCAGGAAGGGTGTGTTGAACCAGCCCCAATCCTTCCCCATTATGGTGCCCTAGGCCCACCAACTCCCCACCCGGCTCCTTGACTGCAGTCCCAAAGTGCCCACTTGTCCAAATGGGGCATCGGAGGCCACCTCGAGGGGGGCCACCTGCACCCCAGACCTGTCCCCTACTCTGGAGAGGAGCCGGATGAACATTTCCTTGATCCATGGTTTCCAAGGTTCATCTATCTCTAACTTAATAAAATAATAATAATTCATCATCATCATCATCATCATCATCATCATCTACTCCAAGATGCAGCTGTGCAGAGGAGTCCCATAGAGCTGGTTTGAATCTCAGCCCCAACACCGTGTGACCTGGGAGAGCAACACCTCTTGCAAAGGGGCAGAATGTGATGAGACCCTCCCCCACTGAAAGAGGAACGGAGAACTTGGATATTTAAGCTGAAGTCCCTGAAACTGAATATGAAAACAGGCTTTTCTTTACCAGGAGGGGACTACAGTTTGCATCGGACTGTTACAAAACACGTGACCCCACGGGGTCACCCTGAGTCCCCGTCACCATTCTATAGGGTTGGCCCCACTGAGTGCAAAGGCGACCCGAGGATCCTGCCCATTGCCACCCAATGGCCTGGACATGGCTGCCTCCCATCCCCTCACAATTTCCAGAGCCAACTCTCAGCTCACAAACAAATCCCTGCTCAGTGATTCTGGGCTTTTCCCAGCCCCACCCCCCCCACCCCCGAAGCTCGGAGACATCAGGTAGGCCCAGCCTGATGGTGGTCTCCTGGAGGTTAGGACAGTCAGCAGAAAATCGGGACCAAGAAATGCAATGACTTACCATGGAGATGGCAAACAGAGAGTTATCAAAGGTCATATCTGAAATAGAAAGAGAAAAGAAAGCCAAGCGCCAGTATAAAATCCCTGCTCACTGCCCTCTGGGGGCACTCCCCCCAGAGCCACGGGCCTCGAGTCAACCGTGAGGAAGGGCTTGGGACCCATCTCCCAGCATGCTTCCCTCCCTTCCAGCCCATTCCGCAGGGTGAACCATTCCCAGCTGTAAATTGAATGATGTCCTTTTTCTGCCCAGAGCCCTCCCCCAGGGGCCTCTCGCAGCCCTCTGATAAACGGGTTTCTCCTCTCAACTCCCACTTTCGGGAGCACCTCTCAGCTCTTCCACCACCCCAGGCTTTCCCCCAATCGCCTACTCTTCACCCCCCTACTCTGCTCCTGTCCGTCTCTGCTTAAACACCATTTCCTCCCGGGACCGCCCTCCTCGCTCCAGACAGGGTCCCACCAGCCAAGGGCTGTTCCCCCACTGCAGTATGGGCTTGTGGGCAAAGACCACCTGTCTTGGTCATTGAGGGACACCCCCCAAATGTTAGCACATAGTAGGTGCTCAGTAAAAGTGTGGAACAGTGGGAGCGCCTGGGTGGCTCAGTTGGGTAAGCGTCTGCCTTCCGCTCAGGTCATGATCCTAGCATCCTGGAATCCAGTCCGAGTGGGGCTCCTGGCTCAGTGGGGAGTCCGCTTCTCCCTCTACCTGCTGCTTCCCCTGCTTGTGCTCTCTCTCTTTCTCTCTCTCAAATAAATAGATAATCTTAAAAAAAAAAAAAAGTGTGGAACAGTGGAAGAAGTACAGAGAATGGAATTTCTCTGCTTGGGGCCCCTTCCGGAGCATCCCGCGGCACAGACTGACTGCCCCTCTCCCCTTGGTGGAAGCCTTCAGGATGACACGTTCTGGATCACAAAGGGGGCTCCATTTAAGGAGCCCATGCCAGGCAGTCCGTCCCCCATGGGACTGAGCGTCCAGCGCTGGAGGCGAGTATTACATACACACTTGTGTTTTTCTCCCGAGGGGTAAGAAGAATGATAGGGTGCTGAAGGCAGGTAAGTAGAAACACACCCCCTGTCTAGGCAGTCAGGGAAGGCTTCCTGGAGAAGGTGGCCTTTATTTTCTTTTATTTTTTTAAAGATTTTATTTATTTATTTATTTATCTGAGACGATCCCGGGACTCCAGGATCATGACCTGAGCTGAAGGCAGTCGCTTAACCGACTGAGCCACCCAGGCGCCCCAGAAGGTGGCCTTTAGACCAAGACCAGAGAGAGGGAGAATGTTGTAGGCAGAGGTCAGAGTGAGCGGAAGGCCGGAGGATGAGGCAAAGGGAGAAGCTGAGAGGTGAAACCTAGCGCTGGGGGGAAGGGAGGGTGTGTTCTTGACCCTAAGGGGAGAGAGCGGCCTCAGAAGAGGTTCAGCAGCAAGTAATGAGACCCGCTAGAGTTTTGAGGGGGTGAGCCTGCCCTGGCAGGGGATAAGAGTAGGAAGATACCCACCTGTGGTGGCGAAGTTGATCTGGACCCAGCAGGATTCTCGCTCTCTACAAAGGGATTTGGGAGAGTGATGACTTGCTGCTCTCAGGCGGGAGGATTGTTCTGGGAAGCCCTGGCTCCAGACTTGGCCTTCACTCCCCACCTGCCTTTGCATCCTCCCTGAGTCCCCGCAGATGGAAATTCTCTTGCAGGAGCCCCAGCACCAGGTGAAGTCGGGATTCGATCCCTAGGGCTAAGGCTAGCTCTATGCCACCAGGCAGCGGGGTATCCACTCCTCTCAGAGGGGAGAAGCTGAGGCTGGGGCCACTGCCTACAGGCTACAAATTGGGCACTGCACCGCCCCAGAGGGTGCCACTCACCTCTCCCAACTGTGGCTTTCTAGAGTATTACAACCATTTTGGGCAGTCATTGATTAAGGGATGTGAGGACGACTCGGCCACTTGCTCCCTGTGTGACTAAGTTGAGCCTCAGTCTCCTTGTCTATAAAATGGGGCTACTTATGATGCCAGCTTCCACAGCAGCTGTGAGCTGCTGTGGACTCCAGCTGCAGTCTCCTAGCACAGTGCTCCCCATACCCTAGGTGCTTTATAAATGGCACCTGTTCCTCTTAAGCAGCCCTCCCAACCAGAGGGCGCTGTTTGGAGTGGAAACCCCCCACCCAGCACCGGAAGTGCCCTTCTGTCCCCAGAACCAGGCCAGGTCTCAGAGTCCTTAACACCCATCAGGAACTTCTGCCCCACACCCCCCAACCATTTGGTATTTCTTTCCCCCAAACCGCCCTCTGAGGATCTCCAGAAACGGTCTCACCTTTTCTTCTGCAAATTTTTTACTTTAACTGGGAACAAAAAAAATAAATAAGCATTTATTAGATCTTGGTCATGGTTGCATCCTAGTTGCAAAAACAAGACAAAACAAAGACTCCAAAGGCTCCCTCATACATTTGTTGACCCAACCTTGCCTTCTCCTCTGGCAAATGTGCCACTCAACAAGAGGGCTACTGCGAAATCCTCCCCACCCCCCAATTACATGAGTAACGTGTATTGGTAAAAGCTTCAAACCAGCATGTAAAGAAAATGTTTTTTTTTCAAGATTTTATTTTTAAGTAATCTCCACACCCAACGTGGGACTCAAACTCACAACCCCGAGATCAAGAGCTGCATGCTCTACGGACTGAGTCAGCCAGGTGCCCCCCCCAATATTGTTTTGTTTTGTTTTTTATTGTCATTTTCAGTGATTGACAGGAGCTGGGGGAGGAGGAATGGAGAGTTAGTGTTTAAAGGGGACAGAGTTTCAGCTGGGGCAGATGACAAAGTTCTGGAGATGGATGGTGGTGATGGTTGCATACCATTGAATGTACTCAATGCTGCCAAACTGGACACTTAAAATTTAAGGGTTAAAGTGTGAAGCTTTGTGTTATATGTATTTTATAACTTAAAAAAATATATATCTACTTCCCCTGCCCCACCACCAACATTGCACTTCTGGAAGATTCTTTACGGCTAAGTCTTGGAGTAAGACCTCCTCAGCTGTGTGCCTCTGTGCTCCTAAAAAATGGGTGTGGTTGGGGGTTCATTTACACGTCCCAGCGGTTGCACACTGGCAGCCTCTGGGCTATGCGTGTCTCTGCCTTCTGTTACCTTTCCTGACCACCACGGCAACGACCACCAGCCCAGCAAGGAGAAGGAGGGCTCCGGCCAGGCTCAAGGAGAGTGCCAGTATCCAAGTGGGCACTAGAGGAACATGAGAAAAAGAGGGGGGCAGGTTATGGAGTTGTGGGGTGCAGGGTGAAGGTGGGACAGCTCTCATTCCTCCAGATTACCTTTGGGGAGCCAGCCCTCCCCCGGATACTGCCCAACCATTTGACCTGGGTGTAGCTGGACCCTGGGGATCTGGCAAACCTCGTGACCGGTCAATTACCATATTCCTCACCCCCCCAAGTCATGGTGATTGGTTCAGGGATGGGCATGGGGCCAAAGCTGAGCTAATGAGAGCTAATTCTAAGACTTGGCTAGACTACTGGGAAGAGAGAATTACTCCTCTGACCAGCATTACAAAGCTGGTAGGATATATATCTGGAGCTGCTAGGCACAATTTTGACACCATGAAGAGGAGGTCCTGCCTGAGAATAAGACACAAGAAAGCAGAGCCGAGAGAGGGCAAATGATTCCTGACATCTTTGAGCACCTGGATCCAGCCATGCCTGAAGTCAGCCCTGCAAACTGACTTCAGTTTGGCAAACCAACACATTCTCTTTTGTTGCTGAAGCCAGTTTGAGTAAGTTTCCAGTTACTTGCAGCCTGAGAGTCCTGCTGGCTTCAGCCTCGTACCAGGGGGTCAGATGACATCCACCCCCAGCCCCATGGTAGACCCTGAAACCCATGCAGAAGTCAGCCACAAAAGCATGAAGCTCCAGCTTCAGAGTTCACTTCTCTGCAAGGAATTTGGCTGCCCCTCCCTGGAGAGAGGGGATCTCTCAGGGGAGACAGGAGGAGATGACCTGATCCCCATGGAGATCAGGAGCTAAGCCAGGAAGGGGAAGGAACAGACACATAGTTGATATTCTCACACTGTTAGCCCTTGTTCATTCATTCATCTGGGGCAGGAGGGCTGTTGTCCCCTCCCCACGCTGAGACCACAGGCCCAAGGTGAGAGAAGGGGGCCTTTGACAGTGGAGCTCAAAGACACAGACTGTTCTGTCGCCTCAAGGCACCTGAGGCACCGGGGCTTCTGCCAGCAACAAAGTTCTCTTTAAGTGGGGCCTTTGCTGGCAACAAAGTTTTCTTTGCAGTTGGAAAGTTCTGATGGGCGGTGATGCAGAGGCTCTACCTGGAGACTGCTCTTTGATCCTGGAGCCCACACCCAGCCTTCTGTCCTGAAAAGACCACAAGAAAATATCAGCCTTCCAGGCTTTCTGTCTGACTTCGACGAAGAGCCAAAGTCCTTGATGCAGCCAAAGGCCCTACACGGTCCTCCTTGCCACCTCTGTGCCTTTTTCTCCCCCAACTTTTCTCCTTGCCCACTATGCTTCAGCCCTACAGAGCGCCCCGGTGTTCCTCAAACACACCAGACACATGCCAGCCTCGGGGCCTTTGCAGAGCCAGCTCCCTCTGCCTGGGACCCTCTCGCCGCAGATACCCACATGGCTGCCTCCTCATCGTTCAGGTCTTTGCTCAAATGTCGCTCCCTCAGAGAGGCTTTCCCGGGCCACTCTCCTCTGTATTTAAAACGACACCCTTCACCAGGTGGTACTTCATCCCTGCCACTTTATTTGTCCCCTGCGGGCTACACTGAATATTTTTTGGACTCCCTGCTTCTCGGCTGTCTGCATCCCCTCAGAATGTCAGCTGGGGGAGGGTGGGGACTTTGTTTCACTCACTGCTGAAACGGCAGGGCCAAGAACAGTGCCTGGTGCATAGGAGGTGCTCACAAATGTTACATGGCCGGGGAGGGGGGTGCAACGAGTGTGGAGGGTTCACGCCTAGACACTGGAGCCGGTGGAATCCCAGCTCTGCTGCCCTGCTAGCCGTGTGACTTGGCCAAGTACCCTCATCTCTTGTGCCTCAGTTTCCTTATCTGCAAAATGGGGGGCATCGCTGAACCAGTCGCATGGGATGACTGTGAGAGTTCAGCGAGGAAAGGTGGGTGAGCCCTGGCCAGGTGGAGGCCTGGTTCGTCCCACAAAGGCTTCCAAGCAGAGGGAACAGCATGAACAAAGGCTCGGAGGTGAGCCAATGGAGCCGTGGGCCGCGAGGGCCGGTGGGTGGGTCTTACCTGGGAAGGAGACATGCATGGGCTCGCTGAAGTCCGACAGCTGCAGCTGCCAGTGCTCACCTAGCACACCATACCGGCAGCAAAATGTGCCCCCTGGAGCTTCCCTGCCACCGCCACTCAGGTTGAAGGTGACCCCAAGCTGGTCCGCGGGCGCCTGCAGGAGCTGGACCACCTGCCCACCACGGTACAGTGTGAAATTTGCCCCTGGGAAGCCCCCAGGGGCTACGCAGGCAATGTGGATGGGGTCTTCTTGGCTGCTGGGGTGTGGGGGCACCAGCAGGATGGATGGCGCTGGGATTGCGAAGGAGCCTGCAATGCAGGAAAAGGGAGGTAGGCTGAGTGGTTAGAGCAGAGGCGTTTACTGACTCTGTGGCCTTGGGCAAGTGGCTGAACCCCCTGGGCCTTGGTCTTTATTTACAAGTAGGTAGCCGACCCTACCCCATTGCTATGTTCCGGGGTTCGGGTACTAGGCACCTGGTTGGGAGTCATTGTGTTTGAGTCATTTTATTGTGATTGTAGTGGTTATTACATAGCAATGCAATTATACCCTTACTACTCAGTCAACAGCACTCACCTGATGCCAGGCCCTGTTTTAGGTGCTGGGGACAGAATGTGAACGAGATGGACGGATCGACATGCCTGCCTCAGGGGGCTGACGTTCTCAAGGAGACAAGAAGCACGGTGCAGCCCATCAGACAGGGTAATGGGAAGCCTGCGCCGGCTGGGGAGGACATGGAGGGCTTCCCTGAAGAGGCGACACAGGAGCAGCTAGGGGAGAGCATTCCAGGCAGAGGGAAGAGCACGCGGGCAGATGCTGGGAGGATGGAAGCGGTGTGGGGGCATCAAGACGGCCAGGGTGGCTTGGAAGGGATGAGCCAGGGAAAGAGCAGGAGAGGCAGAGAGCAAAGGGGTGCTCTTGTTTCCCGGGCTGTCAGGAATTGGGATTTGGGGGGAACAGTTTCCTATAGGAGGTACCAGTGTCTCCCCAGCTGCCCCCAGGCTCCTGAGCAGAGTGTCTAGCTCAGGTGAGGTCTACACAAGCCTTTCCTTGTCTGACCTCTAGACCTTTGCCCGGCTTCCCCCCTGCCCCCCAGCAGCTCCTCCTGTTGCCCCAGCCCCGGAGGTAACAGCCTGTGGAAGCCAAGCAGGGCTGAGTCATGGGGCGTGGGCACCGCTGACTGCAGCGGGTGGGATTTCTGATATCCTTGATGTGCGGGTGATGAGGAGCTCACTAAGAGAAAGCCACGCTCCTGGGGCATTTCCAAAGCTCTGGGGCAAATCTGTCCGCGTTCAGCCTTCTCCAGCGCCTGGGGAAGGCAACCCTGTGCTGCTTTCTGCCCCCAGAGCAGAGGCCAGGTGGGCGGGGTGGGGCTGGTGCAGGGGGAACATTAGGCTCACCGGCTGCAAAGAGCAGGACGGTCCAGGGCATCTCTCCTCCTCAGTTTGGCCAGGAAATCTGGCGGGGGCCAGCGCGGCCCACAGCTCACGGCCAACTCCTCCTGTGAGGCCAGAGCAGGGAAAGGAGAACCAGGGCTGATTTGAACGAATGTTTCCTCACTGGCAGGAAGTTGCACACACACTCTCAGCTGCCAAAAGGGACTCTCTCCTCTCCCCACCCCTTCCACAGATGCACATCAGATCCTGGCATCTCACTACACCTTGGTGGCCACAGTTCTGCAGAGATGGGAGGAGGGATACGTTGGCTAAGATGGTCTGGGGTGCGTGCATGTGTGTGTGTGTGTGTTTTCTCCCTATGAAGAGAATTTCTGGCTGGCATGAGGAAGGGACTGTGGGCTGTTTGGGAAAACCATGCCCAAGATGCAAACCTCTCAGTCCAACCAGTTCCAAAAGTTGAGACATATGTCGGGCAGACGTTGATAGAGCACAGAGGTTAGTGCTTGGCCTCTCTCACCTCAGGCAAAACATAGTCCATCTTTGAAGCCTCAGCTTGCTGCTCTGTAGAATGGGGCTAAGAGTTGTAGGTATTAGATCCATAGAACTCATGACACATACGAAGTGCAATGCTGGAGAGGTGTGAGTGCTCCTAGGGTGAGGCCACAGGAGTGTCACTATCCAGGTAAAAGGGAACACTAGCTCCAAAACTGAGGGAATGATACAGTTGACAGAATAAATTGCCTCCCGTTTACAGCCCAGAAACTTCCAAAGGTCTCTCTTACCAGTAAGTTTGCTTTGGTCTCAGCATTTCTGTTCAAGTCAAGCAGGTCCCCCTGGAGGTTTACCCCAGGGAACGATGTAGGTGTGTGGTCACTAAACAACGAAAAAGGGCCATTACGGTGGACTTTTTTTATTTGGATACAGGAGGTTCATTCCAACGTCAGGACCTTTGCACATGCTGTCTCTGCTGCCTGGGACACAATTCTATTAACCTGGTAAGATTCCACTTCTCTTTCAGGTGTCAGCTTAAAATATCACTTCTGGGAAATCCTTCCAGATCCCTCTGGACTTAGAAAAATTCCCTTGCTGAATTATACTACAGTGCCTTGTAATTTCCTTTTATTGAAATTGGCATGCTTATATTTTCAAAGAATTTGTCTTTTTCATCTAAGTTGTAGAACTTATCAGTATAGAACTCTTCATATTCCCTTAAGATCCTTTTAATGTCTGTAGGGTCTGTGGTGATGTCCCCTCTTTCAATGGTAATGTGTTCTTTCTCTCTTTTCTTGAATAGTCTTGCTAGGGGTTAATCAGTTTTCTTAACCTTTTCAAAGTACAAGCTTTTGGCTTTGCTATTTCTATTTTTGATTTCATTGTTTTTTGTCTTATCTTTTTCTTTCTTCTATTTACCTTATGTTTCACTGGCTCTTCTTTTCTTAGCTTCTCAAGATAGAAGCTTAGATCATTGATTTTAAAATTTATCTCCAAATATAAGCATTTAAAGCTATCTATTTCCCTCTAAGTACTGCTTTAACTGCATCTCACACATGCTGACATATTGTGCCTAAGTTAGAAATATTTTATTTCCCTTGTGAATTTTTTCTATGACTCATACATTATTTAGAAATGTGTCAATTTCCAAACGTTTGGGATTTTTTGATAGCTTACTGTTAGTGATTTTTTATTTAATTCCTTTGTGGCCAGAGAATGCACTCCATATAATTTCAATCCCTTGAGATTTATTGATACTTTGTTTAATGGCCCAGCACATCTTTTTTTTTTTTTTTAAGATTTTATTTTTTATTTATTTGAGAGTGAGAGAGAGAGCACAAGACGGGGTAGGGTCAAAGGGAGGAGCAGACTCCCCGCTGAGCAGGGAGCCCGATGCGGGACTCGATACCGGGACTCCAGGATCATGACCTGAGCCGAAGGCAGTCGCCCAACCAACTGAGCCACCCAGGCACCCAATGGCCCAGCATATCTTGATCCACATTCTGGGTGCACTTGAAATGAAAGTACACTCTGCAGTTGCTTGATATAATATTCTGTAAATATCCATTAAATTAGGTCATGGCAGTTTACAGAACATGTTTGAATTTATCAAAATCATCCAGCGCTCTTCCTTCCAGGGTGCAGGGGTGAGTCTGTGGTGTCACCTGTAGTTTCCCAGTGCCTACCCCAGTGGTTGGCACACAGTGAACCACAACTATTTCTTGATTGTCTAACCTGAGAGCCAAAAATATATTGTCTATTTTTGTTGCTCTCTCCTGGGTGTGTAAGATAGAGTTAAGAGAGATTCCTGGCTTATTTATTCCACCAACTGCTTACTGAGTTCCCCAAAGGGCTCGGAACTGTGCTGAGTGCCAGGGACACCATGAGGAATAAAAAAACTCCTGCCCTCAGGATGCTCAGAGTTTGGTTAGAGAGTCAGACAAGCAGACAATGAGTCCAGTTGGTGAAGTGCTCTAATGGAGGCAGTCACCAAGGGGAGCTCTTAACCTAGCTTCTTCTGCAGGTTCAGGGAGGGCTTCTGGGAGAAGGAGTTATCTGACTCCAAAAGCCTGAGAAGGAAACAAAGGAAAGGACATTCTAGGTAGACATAATAATATGCGTGAAAGACCTTGGATGAATGTGAGGACTTCATCCTGGCAGCATTTAACCTGGTGCAGGAATCTATAACCTGGAATTTTGAATTCAGAAAAACAGACACACTTACCTGTATCAGCCCGCCATCATACAGATTGTGCCCAGAAGAGGTACAGCTAGGAGTCGTGGGCAGGGTGAAGGGAAATCAGCAAGGGATGGTGACTCCCTGGGGTCAGGAAGCTATTACCAGCCCGGGCCTAAAGTTGCTAGGGAGGGTGTTGTGGAATTTGTGGAGAACTGAAGTTGCAGGCTTTGGTAGAGACATGCAGACCAACAGGGTGGGAGCCAGAGTGTATATACCTACACCCTCCTCCCCTCCAGCCCTCAGATCTCCCTACCGGGGCCAAACCCAACTGGATGTGAGAGGCAAAGGCAGCTAAGTTGACCCACTGTGTAGCGATCAGCCTCCAGGGGCACAGAGCAGTGCAGGAAAGGGTGGACAAGAGCTCTGGTAGGGCACGCAAAGACTGCCCAGCACACACTCTCAGAATCTTTTGGTTGTAATTGCAGGGGATTCCTGGCCTCAAGAAGCTAGTCAGTAAGCTCCCCGTGGTTGTAAGAACCCCAGGCCCACTGTAGGCCAACGATACAAAGGAAAGATGGACACTACAGGATGTGGCCTTTGTAACTGCTCCGTCTCTTCTCTGGCTACTCCCCTCCCTCCGCTCCACTTCCTTTCTGCCCCTGGAGCCCTCGGAGCGCCTTCTGACCCCAGAGCGTGGTTCTGGCTTGCCTCCTCTCCCTTCTACTTCTAGTCTGAGATTCAATGCCGCCTCCTCAGGGAAGCCTTCCCTGACTCCACCCAGGTGAACCGAGCCATCCACCTACCACCTAACATTTACTCTGTGGTACCCATAAGTCCCTGAAATCATCTTAGTGCTGAACTTGCTTGTGTATGATCTGCCTCCTCCATTGGGATGGCAGCTCCATGAGGACATAGAGTCTATTCTATTCACAGTGTCAGACGCTCAGTAAGTGTTCGTTGAACACTTGGACAGGGGATAGCTTTTGTTTAATGGAAGGAAACAAGAAACAGAAACTTTGACAAACTGAGCAAACACAGAATCAAGTTTATCCGAACTCTGGAAAACAGGCAAAGGTTTCTGCCAACCAAGTGAACACCGAATCAAAACGAAAAGGGAACTCGAACATGGCAGGAAAGCTCTGTGGTGTTTTCCCCACCCTTTCCTCATCTCCTTCCCAGCGTGGTGGAGGTCTTGAAGACAGCAGCCTGTGTCCCCAGTATGGGCTCCCGTACCCGGTTGCTGAGGTTGGCAGCATGGCATTTGTCTGTTCTAACATGTCTGGGGGCTACCCGTGGGAGTGACTCAAGGTGCCTGTCTGTTGAACTCAGAATGCATTCCTGGAAAACACTAAGGCAAAGGGAAAAACCCACAGCCACCTGGGGCAAAATATCATAATCGAGGACAGCATTAACCAGTGATTTTACCAGCAAAAATGAGCTTATTCAGGAATAGCAGAGAAATGCAACTTCCCCCACCCCCGCTCTCGCAGGCTCTCTCTAAAATAAATAAATAAAATCTTTAAAAAATATATATATATTTTTAAAGATTTTTATTTTTTGACAGAGAGAGAGAGAGACAGCGAGAGAGGGAACACAAGCAGGGGCAGTGGCAGAGGGAGAAGCAGGCTTCCCGCGGAGCAGGGAGCCCGATGCGGGGCTCGATCCCAGGACACTGGGATCGTGATCTGAGCCGAAGGCAGTCGCTTAACGACTGAGCCACCCAGGCGCCCCAAAATATATGTTTCTTTTTTAAAATAAATTAAAAATAAATAAAAGATCCCCCACTCTCCACCCTTCAAAATGTCCAAGCAGCGAGTGTGAATGACAGAAAACTTTGGGAGTGAAAAGGAACACTAACAGTGACTGCACATAAACTTTGACATAACAAGGTGGTGTGACTTCCTCAAGTTCTCCAAAAGCAGGAAAGAGCTGACAGCCACCAGCTGTATTCGAAGAGAGAGTGTCACCAACTGCCAACCATTCCAGGGCCTATCTTTACAGACTCAAAATTTCCCTCTATAACATTTTTTCTTATGTTTAGACAGAATCACCAAGTAGAGTCCATTTCTCCAGTGACTTCTTTGGTTATCTGCCAGCTTCCCAGAGGGTGGTCGCCTCCAAATACTCTAAGCCAGACTGAGGGAGAAGAGGTTACAGGGTGGGCTGCCTAGTGGTGGGCGATCAGCCTGGAAAATAGCAGATAATATATACTGAGGGCCTATAATGTGCCAAGCGCTGAACAAGCATTATCTCAACCTTCACAACAGCCCAATGAGGTAGGACAAGCATCACCCCATCCTACGGATGAGGACACTGAGGCCCGGTGGGACGATTTCAAGCCAAGGGTCGGGGGTAGGGTCGGGGTGGGTGGCTTGAACTAGGTAGGCTTCGTGGCTCCCAGGCCCACGCTCTCCTGACTCTTAAGCACCTGGCTGTCATTTTTCCTGCCCCGGGTCACATGAATTACTGTTTACCTGCTGGCTCCCCGAGTTTGAGAACTTTGGGGTGCAGGGTGGGCTATGCCCCTTTACGGACTCTACGCAAGGAAACGGAGCGCCATGGGCAAGGCTTCGTCTCGATTCCCACAGCCGCCCTATGGGGCGGTCGTTCCATCTCCCCCCCCCCCAACTACAACTGACAAAGTGAGGGCTCTAAGGAGCAAAGGGAATAAAGGGTCAGGCGGCGAACCTGGAGCCACGCACAAGGAACACGAAGGCCCCACATCACTACGAAAGGGTCTCCTTCTCGCCCCAGCTGAATCACTTTACAAGCGAACCCTACGGGTCGCGTACGCGTCCAGCCTCTAGCTTAGGCGCACTCCACCCAGACGAAACCGCTCCCCGGCCGTTGCGCGCAGCGTACTCTCGGAAAACCGCAGGGAGGTGCCTCAGAAGGTCCCGGCCCGCCTCCAATTTAGTTGTCTTAACTTTTGCCTGAGAAACATGCGCCATCATAGTACCTATTTTTGCCATTTTCCCTCACCATCTTTTGACGGTGACTAGAGCTAGAGGCTATTCAGGAAAAAGGCTCCAGAAGGTTGAGTGTTTTAAGGCACAGAAGGCATTCATTCGGGCAGCTAAGCTCTCAGGGGGCCCTTCACTTTCTCTCTCCGTTCGCTTCACACCACCAGCAGGAGCGGCTGCCAATGAGCTCCGCCGAGTAGCAGAGGGGGCAGGGCCAGCTCTTAAAGGAACCGCGACCTCTTAGCAGACCGGAGGGTGACCCGGATGATGGCGGCCGGAGCGGCCCTGGCCTTGGCACTATGGCTACTACTGCCGCCGGTGGGGGTTGGGGGGGCAGGGCCCCCACCGATCCAGGACGGCGAGTTCACGTTCCTGCTGCCTGCGGGGAGGAAGCAGTGTTTCTACCAGTCTGCGCCGGCCAACGCAAGCCTCGAGACCGAGTACCAGGTAGAGGGTCCCGAGCCGGGGAGCACACGAGCGACGGGAGCCAGGGCGAGGGGGCGTGGCCAAGCCGCTGAAGCGAGGCACGGATTAAAGAGGGAGGGGGAGGAGCCAGTGCGTAAGAGCGCGGGGGCGGAGCTAGGAAGAGCGAGCCGGGGCTGCTGGAGAAGGTGCGTGGGAGCGGAGGGGGCGGGAATAATGGCAGGAGGCGGGGTTAGAGTGAGACCGCCGGGGGGGCGGGGCCATCGGTTATAAGAGAGCGCCCCTCACAGGGCAGGAACCTCACGAGTGGGCGTGGCCAAAAGTTGGGTCCACTGACTGGCGGGGTTGGTGGGCATGACCAAGATGCACCACTAAAAGGGTGTGGTCAACATGAGGATGTCTCGGGGGTTGGGTTAAGGAAAGCAAGAGCCCTGTCGCTTCACTTGGGGTATGGCCAGGTAAACGTCATCAAGGACTTACGACGGGGGCGTGACCAGATGAAAGAGCCAAAACCAAAGCTGTCCTATCAATGAAGACTGAGCCAAGGCAAGGGGCGCGGTCAGAGGGACGGGTGGGGCAGGACCAGGTTCCAGGTGTAGGTGTCAGCGCTCAGGTAGGCCCCTGGTGGCCCTGGATGGGTCTGGGCGGGTTGGTCCAGCCTTGGCTTTCCCTGGCAGGTGCCCTTGGCCTACCGCTAGCCCTCCACCCTCTTACCTGTCCCCCCAGGTGATCGGAGGTGCTGGGCTGGACGTGGATTTCACGCTGGAGAGCCCTCAGGGCGTGCTGCTCATCAGCGAGTCCCGCAAGGCAGATGGGGTGCACACGTGAGTTAAGTCCCACTGTCTGCCTGGGTTTAGTTTCAGCCCTGCCCCTCCCCACTGGCCTCAGGTTACCACCTTCCCTGCCTCTCAAAGTCCGGCTGGAGGGCCGCTCTGGGTCATGTGTGTCTGTGTGTCTTTCTCCCAGGGTGGAGCCCACGGAAGCTGGGGACTACAAGCTGTGCTTTGACAACTCCTTCAGCACAATTTCTGAGAAGCTGGTGTTCTTCGAACTCATTTTTGACAGCCTGCAGGATGACGAGGAGGTCGAGGGCTGGGCAGAGGCTGTGGAGCCTGAGGAGATGCTGGATGTCAAGATGGAGGACATCAAGGTGCACCCAGGCTGAGCCAGGGCCACTTGTCGCAGATCTCTGGCTTTGGGCAACAGTGCTCCCCTATTCTTCCACCTTGGCCGGGGTCGGCATCAGCCTGACCCAGCCCCCCTGGCGCCCCCACCTTAATTAGAATAGTAGCTACTCAATTAAAATAATAGCGCATTTCTAGGTATAGGAATTTCAAGGGCTTAAGTAACTAATGAAATCTCCGTATGAGGTAGGGAATGTGTTCCCAATGCCCCATTTAAACTGAGCCACAGGATGGCTAAGTAACTTTCCTAAGGCCACATAGCAACTGGCAGATCCAATATTTGAACCCAGGCAGTCTGGCTTCAGCAGCTGTGCTGTTAGCCACTAGTAAGTACATTCTTTATATTTATTTAGGCATTCAGGTCTCACCTCAGTTCGGAGGAAACAGGCCCAGAGAGGTTAATTAACTTGCTGAAAGTCACCCAGCCAGTCGGCACAGAGAGAGGATTCAGACTCAGGCAGCCTGGCCACAGAGTCTCCTCTCAGCTCTCTCCTCCCAAAACAGGCTCACCCCATCCCCCGTTTTATTGGTCCCTGCTCCCCCAAGGGCGGAGGCCTGACCCTGCCCCTCTCTCTGCTCCACAGGAGTCCATCGAGACCATGAAGACCCGGCTGGAACGTAGCATCCAGATGCTGACGCTCCTGCGGGCCTTTGAGGCACGTGACCGCAACCTGCAGGAGGGCAACCTGGAGCGGGTCAACTTCTGGTCCGCGGTGAACGTGGCAGTGCTGTTGCTGGTGGCCGTGCTCCAGGTCTGCACGCTCAAGCGCTTCTTCCAGGACAAGCGCCCTGTGCCCACGTAGCCCCAGAAGGAAGAACAAGGGAAAGGAGGGGCAGCAGGGCACATGTGTGTGGTCCGCTGCTGGTCCTTTCCCCAAACTTAGCTTCCTATGGGAGGGGAGGACACGCAGCCATGGCCCTGAGGTTGTGTGTCTCCTCCCTGCCAGGAGCCAGGCTGGAAACCCTTGTTGGCTTGGCTGACAGGCCTGGGCCCTCCTGGAGGGACAGCTCAGTGGCTGCACCTGCTTTCCTGGAAATTGTGCATGGACGGGGAGGGCACTGCAGCATTTGAATGTGACCCCTGGATATTCTGGCCCCTTGCCGTGTCCCCTCCGGTAAATGTGTGTGCCTTAGCCCGAGTCCCAGCCTGCACGGGCACTGCTTGGTGTAGGATGGGGCCCAGGAAGCAAACTCTCCCTTCCCTTCCCTCCTGGCCTTTTGAGCCAGGGTACGGTGGGAGGGGTCTTGCTGCTTGTGGGACCCCACGCCTTCCTTTGTCTCCCTGTTGCCCCACCAGAGGCCTGTTGCTGCTGCTGGGGGCGGCTTCCAGGCTTGGCGGGGGGGCGCCTGCTTATGCCAGGGGCTGGGAAGGAGACACGGTTGCGGTGTTCTTGCCAGGACAGTCACTTTATTGAGAGGAAGGAGCCCAGCCCCTCAGCCCAGCGCGGGGTGGGCTCTGTGTGAGGTCTGGTAACAGAACTCTAGGAGTGGGGGGGCCTGCATGACCACCCGCCCCTCCTGCTCTCTGCAAAGGCCCCGGGCAGGGCTGAGGGGTGGCCCAGCCAAAGCTTGCGCAGGAGCCTCACGGAACAAAGGGCGGTCTGGCCTGGGCACTGGAGTCAATAAATTATGGTCAGAAAATCACAGAGCCTGGTGACTGGGGCTCAGGGACACCAGCCGGGACAGACCTGCCCCCAAGGGGGGCAAACCAGGCAGGCGGGAGGGGTCTCCCACGAAGCTCAGAAGAAAGGCCGGGCGGGAGCCGATGGAGGTGGTCGCCTGGGCACAAGAGAAAAATCAGAAAGCAAAGTTTAACTGTGACCCGGGCTGGGCCAGAAGGCCTTGGACCTGGGCGGAGTCCTTACGATTGCAGTGGTAGGAAGGGGGGCCCTGACCACAGCAGTGGTGGGGTGGAGGGCCGGGGCTTCCTCTCCCCTGTGTGATTCTGCTGCCCACCCCAGGCCTGTGTCAGGGGCTACAGCCAGGCCCCTGGGTTAGTATGTGTGGAGGGGGAGTGGCGAACATTTGTCCCCCCTGCTGACGTGTTAAGGAAAGCAAGAGATTTTCCCTCTAGAGCATGGTTGCCTCTGGAAGAAGTGCTCTCCCCAAGAGCAGAGCCCCAGGAGTGAGGTGTGAGCGTGCCCACGGTAGGAGGGGAGGTGGGGTCCTTGTCAGAGGCTTGCCAGGGGAAGGCGAGCAGTCCACATGCTCAGCCTGAACGCCAACACAAAAGGCCCACACAGCAGCCACCAGAAGCTTCTTCCCTTTATTTTAGTTTATTAATAGGATACAGAGTGCAGGCACTTACAGTGGTCAAACCGAGCAAGGAGCGAGCAGGGTCTGCTCGGCGATGGGCCACCTGGGGCCCACCCCGTCGGAGAGGCCTGGGTGGGAGCCAGGAGCCCCTCAAAGCCTCCCCACTCACTCAGCCCTGAGCCCGAGCCACCCTGGGGACCTAGGAGGAGGGGACCCAGGGAGGAGTGAGCGAGGCCGGCAGGACGGAGGCTTCCGGACCCGGCGAAGGCACCTCCGGCAGCCGAGGCTCGGCCGTGTGGTTAATACGGCCAAGGAAGGAATATTTACAACTCGCAGGGTGGGCAGCGTGGGGCCTGCTGGGCCTGGCTCACTGCTTGGAGCTCCCGCTGCTGAGAAGTGGACATGCTCCTTGGGCCCCAGGAAGGGCTGGGGGTACAGGCACTCTTGCTGCCCCAGTTTCCAGAAGGCCTGGTCTCAGGCTTTCCTGGCCAGAGAAGCCCCAGGTGAGTCCCCCCGCCCGGCCCCAGCCTGAATCCTCATTAGAGAGGGCGCCCAGGGTGCATTCCCTCCTCTGCTACCCTGTGGCTCCATCCCCCAAAGTGCAACACCCCAGCTCCCGCCCTTGACCCGGGGCTCCAGGGCCCCTTCGTTCAGTGCTGTGTCCAGCTGGGGATGGGGGCTGAGGTTAGGGAAGAGTCAGGGGGCTGCCCACAGGGAGCCTGGTCCTGGCACGTGGATGACAGGGCCACGGGCAGTGGAGGGGCCCAGACCACCGAAGCTCCTGCACGGCAGGTGTGTGAAAACCCCCTGAGAACACGCCCCCCACCCCCCACAGCCTAGTCGAGCAGGGATGGCTCGGCTGGGCGGATAATGGTGGGCCGGCTGGGCGCAGCAGGGGGTCTTCTGCTGCAAAGAGAATACAGACAGACGGGGAGGGGGAGGGGGAGATGGCAGTGAGGCCCTAAGCAGGACGAGGGAGGGGGCCCAGGCCCCCCCGCCCCCGCCCCAGGGTGCTGCCTGATGCCGGATGCCTCAAAAGCTGCTAGAGTGCCACGGAGGAGCTAGAGCTGTGGGGCCCCGCCTGAGTCCCCGCCCAGCCCGGACCCTGGGTTTCTCATGGGAGAAGGGTGGCAAATGGAGCCTGGCCTGCAGGGCAGGGTGAGGGAGGGCAGGGGTGTGCGATGGCTCACGCGTGTGTCCTCAGTAAGGAAACAAAGGTCAAAACTAGGAGAAGGGGCCCCACGTGAGGAGTCCCAATCTGTGTGGTGGGCCGCCCGTTCAGGCAGAGGCCAGGCCTGGGAAACGGAGTCACCCTGACTCTCCACCACTCTGTGACTTTGGGCAAGCAAGTTGGCCTCTCTGGGCCTTAGTTTTCACACCAGCCACATGCAGATGAAGACTCCATTCCCCGCAAGGCGCTGGCAGTGAGGGGGGCGTCCAGCCTTACCTGGGCACTCCAGGGGGGATGCCGGGTGGAATCCGAGCCGGCCGAGATGGGACCTGAGGCGGGGCTGAGAAGGGGTCGTTGTTGGCAAACACACTCTGGGGTCCAGGCCTGGACGGGATGGGGGGTGCGGCGAAGGAGGCTGCTGCCCCCACTGGCACGGGAATCAGAGGGGGCCCTGGGGTCGGGCCTCTCACTGCTGGCGGCCGGCCCGGGGGATGTGCGCTGGACATGGGTCGGCGCTGTGGAGTGGGGCTGTGAAGGAAGGAGCGCGTGTGAGCCGGAGCAGGGGGGTGGGGAGCACCAGCCTTGCCGGGGTGCCTATGGAAACCCGAGGGGGCCGGGGTGTGGCGCTGGCTGGGGCCCCTCCATCCACCCCACCGTCACCTGCTTAGCCGTGGCTGTGCCCCCACCTAAAACCTGCGCCAGGGCCTACCTGTGCCTCTGCTCAGCCACCAGGGGCTCCTGCTTCCCTCCGACCTCACTCCCAGGGCCACTTCCCTCTCACCAGCCCTGCCCGGGCCTGCCGGCTTCCTTGCCTCTTCCAGTCCACCCTCATTCAAACCCCTGCCCTGGGTACCCCACAGGCTCCCCCACTGGGCCGGAGCACCCGCTGTTCCCTCTCCCTAAGTAACTCCATGGCTCCTTGAGGCCTCGGCAGGGCCGGTACCTTCTAGGAGATTCCCCTGACCCACTCTCTGTCCTCCCGCCACCTGCCCTGTCACTGGTCGGGTGTCCCTGCCTAAGGCTCTGCAATGCCATGCCAGCGTCTCATTTCCACCCGCCGGCTCTGAGGTGGTTGGGGGGGCTGGGGACAGGCCAGTCATGCCCTCCAGCTGCTGCTGCAGACCCTCCCCAACCTGCCATTCTCGTCTGCGCTTTGTGCTCCAGAATGATGACCCCATGGCCCCCGCTGCCCCGGCCTCTTGCCCTCTCTGGCTTCTGCTTGGGCTTTACCGATGGAAAACACCAAGAGTCAGATGGGCCCTCCGCCCAACGCTTCTTCTCTCTCCTTGTCACTTCAGGCCCAGGCTGGGGAGCAGCAACCACTATGGCTCAGGCCCCTTCACCCCACCCACCCCTGGGCTGGGCCCTGACAGGACACATGGGGGGACCGGCGGGCAGCAGCCTCTGCAGGCTACAGGCGCCCAGGCCTCTCAGACCTGTGGCTGCCGGTGCTCTGGAGCCAGGTGTCGTCGACGGGCGGGGGCACAGGCGTGGACACGGTGCTGGTGCTGATGTCCCCGATGATGTTGAGGGCCTCCTTGAGTGCATGGTACATGCGCAGCATGTCGTCCCGCCGCTGGGCCTGGTCGGCCGATTCCTCCATGAGGCTGCTCTGGTCCGCCGAGGAGTACAGGTAGGCCAGCAGCTCATGGTGGATGAAGGCCTTTGTCTGGGGGGCAAGGGGCAGAGAGGTCAGGGCGTCCCCCCACACCTGCCGTTATGACAGGCTGCAGAAGCATCCGCCACACTGGGTGGGCTGTCTGGTCTTTTTTTTTTTTTTTAAAGATTTTATTTATTTATTTAATTAACACATATCGAGAGACAGAGACAGCAAGAGAGGGAACACAAGCAGGGGGAGTGACAGAGGGAAAAGCAGGCTTCCTGCTGAGCAGAGAGCCTGTGGATCCTGGGATCATGACCCGAGCTGAAGGCGGTCACTTAACCAACTGAGCCACCCAGGCGCCCCAGGGTGTCTGGTCTTTAACTTTACTGTGCGATGTGTACGATGTTTGAAATGCACATGAGCTGTCTGCCGAGTCTCTCGGGGGCCCCTTCACGTGTCCTTCCAGACCATTCCACAAGACACTTATTAAACTCGAATCCTGCCTCTTTTACAGCTGTCTTTCCTCCCATTTGTTGTCTTCAAGTTGGCTTTCATTAAAAAACTCCTAGTTTCTGTTAATTTTATAATTTGTTCCTTCCTAAAACCTCCTACAGGATACAGGAGTTTTTTCAGTTACTTTTATGGAGTTTCTAGGTACCTGTTCATGTGTCCAGGAGCTTCTCCAACTAGGAACAAGTTTTCCTATTCTTTTTCAGTGTTTCACACCTCTAAATGATTTTTCTATTGAATTGTACTGGCTAGTAACTCTACAAGAAAGTTTGCTTGTTTGTTTGAAGATTTTTATTTATTTATTTGAGAGAGGGAGAGAAGAATGCGTGTGAGCAGGGGGGAGGAACAGAAGGAGAGAGGATCCCCAAGCTGACTCCCCGCTGAGCGTAGAGCCTGACGTGGGACTTGATCCCAGGACCCGAGATCATGCCCTGAACCGAAACCAAGAGCCAGATGCTCAACTGACTGAGCCATCCAGGCGCCCCTCAAGAAGGTTTTAAACACAAGTGGAGATGGCCAGCTTGTGCTTGATTTTAGAGGGGATGCTTTCCGAGCTTTCCCCTTCAGGGCAAGAGTGGTTTTGAGACTGAAACACACAGACTCATAACAAAAGACTCCTTTTACCATTGTCTTTTTTAAGAATAGATGTTGACTTTTCCCAGATGAACTTTCAGCACCTGCAAAAATAACCAGGCTTGAGAGTTCATTTCCCTCCCCTTTTAGACAAATGGAGCCCTCCTGTACATTCTGTTACGCTCCACAGTTTTCCACTGCATGACTGAGAGTTAGTATCAACCCGGAAATCCTTCTCCTCTTCTTTTTGATAGAATAGTTAGGTACTAAATGGATTCCACTAAGGGGACAGAAACTTCCAATCTTTGGCCACTACACAACAGTACTAAAATAATAAGCATGTATGTGCTCAACTTGAATATGGGCAAAGGTCTCTGTGGGAAAAATTCCTGCAAATAGACCTTTGGAGCCAAACCACGTATGTATTTTAAATTTCATAGCGGCAGAAGCAAGTATATCATAAGTCCCATTTATATGCGAGGGACAGACCAGCACACCCATGAAACTTAGCACGGCTCATCCCGAAGGAGA